CTGACATTGGGTGATGCAAAATGGAGGGAAGAGGAAGCAATTTCTGTTTGGTATTATTGTCTATAGATAATAATATGCTTCAGAATATCATAACCATGAGAGCATGCTTATTTAATTATCTGCTTTGTGTGCTGAAGACCTTAAATTCTTTCAACCTATCTGCTCAGCCCCGGCTTACTTTTCTACCTCCACTAGTTTCACAGAACAATCATGGAGACTAGTAAACACCAACATAGATATAGTACATCAAACTGTTCATCAAACTCAGATGTTCATGTGGTGTCTTAAAGAAATGCAGCAGCGTTTAAAGATTTCTCTCTGTTTGTTGTTTGACAGGCTCAAATGTGCCCATACCTGTGCAAAGGAACAAGTTGTTCTAGAAAAAGTAAGTAAATAAGCTCGGATGTTTTCGAATTTTGTTTACTTCATTATAATAGAAAATCATGTTCCTATACATTTATTTTACCAATTAAAGCTTTGTCAGGATAACTTTAGTGGAAACATTTGGTTTAAAACAAAAAACAATGAAATGTCATATATTTTAATTGATCAGGGTCAGAAGCATGTAGCTGGGATGAGTGAAAGGCATATAAACCAGAACACCAGACGAACACATCTCCTCAATTTACAGCCTGTGTTTGTGATTTTTTTGTGCAGATACTACATATGTGTAACATCTTCTTTCTGTTTCCACAGACAACCAAGAGATGGGAGAGATTGATGCAGCTTGAATTTTATGCTTTTCAAATTTGCCTGAAATAGCTTTGTTTAAAATGAGAAATGAAAATGTATCATTGTCTATACTTTTCACCTGTCCGTTGACTTAATCCCAATCACGCTTGTGTAATTGCTAGTCAGCTGTATGAAATACTAAAAAATGAACAAAAATAAACATTCATTTTCATTTCTAGTAAGTTTGTTTCTTTATTCCACAAATCCTACAAGTCTACAGGTCAAAAATACACATTTAACAAGTAAAGATATGAACTCAGTCTTGTACTAGTATTTTCCTGACAAAAAGATATAAAACCAAAGGTTAATCTACTTAAGTAACAGTCAAACAGAGTGGAAATGGCTTTCAGTGAGAAAAACAATATTATTTTCCCAGTATTACTCTCCTCAAAGTAAGAGTAAGGCCAGTCAAAAGAGTAAGTGAAATGCACACCGCCTTCGCTCCATGTTGCTTTACTGTTGACTGAACTGCTAACTTGGGGTTTGCTCTCTCTGTTAGTACAAGAATTAATAATTGATCAACAAATTGATTTACTCTGACTTACAGAAACCTGTTGCAGCAGGATGATTATATTAGTTTAAATAAATCAACCACCAATCATCAATCAAATGTGTTATGTACTGCTGTACTTTATTCACAATGAGTAAATAAGAATTTCATTAAAATGACTTTATTTTGGACTGTCACTTTAATTTTGTTTATACAGTACCAAATCCAAACAACAGTCGCCTCATGGTGCTTTATGTTTAAGATAAAGACCCTACAATAAACCCCAACAGTAAGATGAGCCCCTGTTAACAAGCACCTGGAGTCAGTGTGGAGGAAGAACTCCATTTTAACAGGAAGAAACCTCCAGCAGACCACGGCTTAGGGAGTGACAGCCGGTTTGAGGGGAGGACAAAGGGCAGAGAGGCAAATATTAACTTCATGTGGCCTACAGATTAGCTCGACAACAGTGCATAGAGGGCTTCATGGAATGGGTTTATATGGCCAAGCAGCTGCATCCAAGCCTTACAACATCAAGTGCAACACAAAACATCAGATGCAGTGTTGTAAAGCATCATTGTGAGGGGCGCTTTTTTGTTAGGAGCTGGGCTCTGTCTTAGATCCAGTGAACTAGTGTTGGTGTGAGGGTCTTGGGGTTTGGGGTCTGGGATGCAGGGGGCCTGCAAGGAGTATGGAGCACCAGTGCCCGGAGTCGCCAGTTTCATGGTTTGGTCTCTCCATGCGCAGGGGGGGTCCAACGCCTCCGCAGGGGGGTCCACGCCTCCTCGGATGCACTATCATGTGGAGCGAGCTGGCCCATGTTGGGAGGTACGATCTGCGCTTTAGGGAATCTCAGGAACCTCAAGGACCTTTGGGGAAGCAAAATCCCACACTAAGCAGCAGGCGTGGGGCATTTTGGGTAGGTTAGGGGCAGCTTGTCTTGTCCTTTCTTGTGTGTGGATAACTGGCATGGGATGCAGCACATGGAAATCTGCAGCAGTGCAAGGCTGTTGTTACAGCCTTCTAGGTAAACACAGTTCAAGTGCTGCAGTAGAGAAAACTGACAAAATTGCACGGCAAAAAAAAAGAAATAAATAGAGAGCAACTTTCCCCTGGCTGCTACACACCTATCTTTCATTAAAAAATGTAAACATTATGTGACTCACAATTCAAATCATGTAATTTTATTTATAGAAATAACATTTTTATTTCTTTAAATAAAGAAAGTTTTAAACAAAGCTAACACAATAGCTCGATGATAAGCATAAACTTGTTGCCGTCACATTACGCAGCACATTTTAGGAGAGCTGGTCTGGGAGTTTGCCTTCTGTCGGATGAACTCTGGATAACAAACCAGAAGAGGAAAACAGAGAAAAGAAAAAAAAGTAGACACATTCCAGTGAACAAACAGAAAAACAGTCTTACGGCATTATGGGTCTTTCTGTGGAGAAATATTGTTAACTAATATTGTATGACTGTTAAAACTGACAAATAGTCTGACCAGTGAAAGGAAGTGACCTCCCTGATTAGCTCACCTGCCAAATTGTCGGGAGATTTCCACCAACCCCTCATAGAGGCCTTTGGTAGGGTTTCTCCAGCTACGAGCACTCCATGAAGCCAGATTAACAGCATCCGGTGACCATGATCTTTGAAGCTTTTCTTACCTTCAATTTAGATTTATATCAAGCATTATCCATCTGAACTTTTAGTTAAACACAGTCACTGTAGACAGTTCTTATACCATCAAGAACATTATAGAATCAACAGTAACTAACTAGTTCATATAGTCCACTGGGTCTGTATTGTAACCACAGACCAGCGTTAAGCAAGCGAGGTACCTTGGCCAGTAAGCAAAGCTGAATGACATCCTGATATCTTACATTTTAAGTGCTCCAACAAAATGAAACAATATTTTATTTTATATAATTTAATATTTTATTTAAAGTTCAACTTTAAATTAAAAAAAAGGTTCAACAGGTTAAAAGTCAAATAAGAGTTTAAAAGCAAGGTGTCAAAGATCTGGCATTTGGAATTAAAGAAAAAAGCTGTGCCCAGAATGTAACTCTTGCCAACAGTGTACAAAAGCTGAAAAACTTATTACAATCCATGTTGCAAACTGCTGTCATCTTGGAGAGACTGCTCTTGGTTGGAGGACCAATCTACCCAAAGAGAAAGATTAGCAATTATATCCAACTATGTCCAACAAGGACAAGTGTGGGTTTGGATGGACGGAGGTACAGTATCTAACCATTCAGGAGGAGGGCAATCTGGTGGGCAGTTTAGCCAAGTTATTGGCCAGTAGTTGGATGGGACGGGCCCCTTCTTGGGATCCTTGGGGGATCAGGACAGCCTTCGGTTAGAACATTCCGGGTGGGTCTCAACCATTAGCACCTGGTTTCATTTGTGCTGCAGGATGCTAATGGAGTTAGCTTGTTAGCTTCCCTATCCAGTAGTGTTAAACATGGCAGGGAATGGTGCTGTCCAATCCCTCTGCTTGACATGTCTGCCACTGTGATGGTTTACTGGATCCTTTCAGGGAGGTTGTTGCAGTCTGCTCTTAGATTCCACTAGCACTGAGCATTTCTGTTTATGTTTGCATCCTTCTTACATATACTCTTCAGTATTGCTCTGTCTCCAGCGTTGGCGGGGCTGTTCTCATTTTGTTCTGCTGCCATTCAGACTAATACTTTGGGTAGTTCAGTGGAGAACATCTGGTTTATTCTCCTGGCTTTTATCTCTTGGTTAACCAAGATTCAGGTATCAGGTATAGGCAGTTGTAGTTGTGCTTCAGTCATCATTATAAGACAAGATATTGTATGATAATAGACGTTTTTCTACAAAAGTGATGTTGTAAAAAAACCAAAAGAAAAACAACACCATCTGCTCTCTGAAATATTAAGGATTAAGCATCCATTTACTCATGTCAGACTATCCATATATTCTAAATAGATCTGTAGTTCATTTGTTGTAGTAGAATTGTAGAAAGAATTCTTGATCTGGGTTAAAATTGACCTAGACCAGAGTTAATCACCTCAGGTACTCAGAATGCTGTAGAGTGAATCAGTCAGTGCCAAATTTGAGAATTTATTTTCAATAAAATCACTGGACCATGAAACAGTGCTTCTATGGTTCTGGACATTACAGGCCTTATATTACAGTTTTTCAAACTTGTATGATTTCCTGTGTAAAGATTTATATATATATATATATATGAAAAAACCCAACAAGTACAAAAAGGTAATAAAAATAGCAATAAAACTGTCAATAATTTTTTTAGGAACTCAGCACTGCTCACCTGTCCACTGTTGTTCTATAGCTTGTATATGTGCTTCACTAAAGTCCCAATGCTGAGCGAGAATCTTCCACTCCCCATAACACAGATGCTTTGTGGCGAGGGTCCATAAGACAGAACGGAAGTGCTGTGTCTCTGGCTGATGGTCCTGTTTGAAGCTCAGAGGTCTTCTTACCTGCTCACATCCCCGTGATCCTGAATTCAACAGGGAGAAAGTTTTGTGAGTCGTTCGAAGTTAAAAGGATGTTATCACGTTTTATGCATATGATGTTACAAAGAAAACAAACTCTCAGTACCTCTTGCTTTTAAAACTAGCACAAAGAATTTACAAGATACTTAGCTGGTTTGTTAAATACCTTCTCCAGGAACAAAAGGCAGTACACAGCTGTTTTACACCTTAAGCTTCACACTCCCTTGCTACCTCCAAAAGTCATTTCCTTCTAAACCTAATACGTGGTTTTTGTCATCTAGCAAGAACTGCAATCAAGCATTTGCAATAACTAATAAAAAAAGCACTTGGGACAATTGTGTTGGTGACAGCTTTTGTTATAATATCAATAATATTCATATGAATATGGGATACTGTTACAGTTTGCACAGACTTTTGTGGAATATGGAGACACTCCTGGCATTATATGAGCAAAGTGAGACTCATTTTTTTAGGGTTGGTGGAGATGAGTGTGAAGATCAAACAATCCCTGTCAGTGATGGAGAAGCTTTGATGAAAATATTGGTAAAAAGTTCACCAGCATGAAGGAAATGAAGTTTCAAACTTTCCTTAGGAGGAGCCCAGCACGCCTGCTTAAAGAAAAGTGAGTGTGGCGATGTGGATGCTTGCAGCGACTGCTGTATAGAGGCCATCCTGCTACACATGAAACACATCAGAGTCATAATTGTTATTTTAGTCACGTGTTTGTTTATTATCCTTATTGCTTTATCTGGGACTGTTTGCAGACATCTCAGAGAGAGGAGACACCAGCATCTGAACAGAGACTCAAACCAGCAACCTGCAGCTCCCTGCTTGGCTGCTCCAGTTTTTCTCCTCACTCATGTTGCCCACCAGTGATTTCTAGCTGCCCACCCACACAGCAGGCTAGAATATGCGCTGAGCCTCAGCACCCAATACTTGGAGATGTTTTCTTTATTAAATAATGAACCAGACCCCAAAAGTAAACAGCTGTTATTGCTAGGCAACGGGAGCAGCATTTGGCGATGCAGCACCTGACATTCCTGACCATGTGGGCGGAGCATGCATGAAATGGAATGTTCAGTAGAACTGTGCAACACAAGCACTTAGTTCCAGCATGTTTCATTGTATCCAGACACAGCTAGAGACACATCTACAGCAGCATCTCTGTGCAGGACAAACGACGTTGACGAAGAAACATCGAAAACTTCACTTCACTCCTCTACAAAACGTTGGCTCCTTTGTTTAAAAGCCAAAATGAATCGAGGGAGAACGAGAAGAGGATCGGCGAGTGCTTCACCTCACAATTCAGTACAGCTGATTAACCTGCAAGAAGAACTTCAAATGATACAGGCTGAAAATATCAAATTAAAAGAAGAGGCAGAAAAATCAAGAGGAGAAGCTAAAGATTCAAAGTTTGAAACTGATGTAGTATTGCAGGAATTACTGCATGTGGGTCTCAAACTTAAAGGAGAGAAAATGGGAAAACAACAGGCAGAAAAGAGAATGAAAAGATGAAGAAAGAACTGTTGGAAGCTCAAAAAGCATTGGAGAAGAGAAAAGCACAGCACAAGAAGCCAACAATAAATATCAAACTGCAAAGAAGGAGGCAGGAAATGTGATGCAGGAATTACAGGAGGTGCAGGAAGCTTTTGAAGAGGGAAAAAAGAAAATGCAGTTGGCAACTCAAGAAGCTGCAAATGTAACAGCTGAAGCTAAAACACTAAGAAGGAATTACTGCATGTAAAGCAACAACTTGAAGAGGAGAAAAGACGTAAAGATGAGGCAGAAAATGAGATTGAAAATTTGAAGAAAGAATTGTTGGAAGCTCAAAAAGTGTTGGAGGAAGAGAAAATAAAATACAGGAAGCAAAGAAAGAAATGGAAGATACAAAGAGTCACACTGAAAACATGAAGAAGGAACTGATGAAAGTACAAGAAGAACTTGCAGAAGAGAAATTGAGGTGAAGGTATTCAAGAAAGAAATGACGGTGACCAAGAAAGACTGCAAAGACGCACTGAAAGAAATGCGAAAGCACAAAAAGGAAGCTAAAGAGCTCCTCAAACACAAAGGGAAACTGGCCAAACAGCAGCTGAAAGAAAATTTAAAGATGCCGAGGAGCAGCTCAACAAGACCTTAAACGAACTGAAGGCAAAAGAAAAGAAAAGCAAGCTGAGGACAGGAGGGGATTCTGGAGCAGACTGCTGAGAAAGAACTGACCCAGCAGCATCAATAGTTTCTTCCTCCTAATGTTAAAATCTCCACCTTTCTTTCACCCCATCCTTCTTCTTGGGACGTTTGCTTGTTTTTTAAAAACTGAAATGCACAAATAAAATGCCATAACTTGACCTCATGTTGCCTGCTTCTTTTCTTGTGTGTCTGTGGATGTAAAACAGTAACACACTTTCTGCTCTGTGTCTTTAATTGTAAATAAATGCAATATGTTTTCATTTTAAAATGCAGTGCAAAAAACTTCTGCTCTGAATCTTTTTTTTAGCAAAAAGCTTTTTGTTGGCTGTTGTGGAAGTTTTTCCATTTAAATAAAGCCTGCAGACGAGCGGTGAGCGGTAGCTAACATTCTTTAATCAAACACACAAAGAACAGACAACCAAGCTTGATGAAGTCCCTGCATGACCGCGGGACAGACGGTCAGCAGAGTCTGAGCCCAGCATGGCTCTCAGTTAAATATCTCCAGGAACAAAAGGCAGTACACAGCTGTTTCACACTTAGTTCCCCTTGCTGCCTCCCAGAGTCCTCAAAGAGACAAAAGACTCTTCCTGTGGAGTTGTCTGCTTCCCCAACTTCCTTACTACACCCCCACCATTTGTCTTACTGTATGAGTGTGAGACATGTTAAAATCCAGTGGCACCAAGGCATCATACAATAAAATAATGTGATTAATACATAAGTAAAAGAAATTCCTTTACATGCCCCTTCCTGATTTCTTATGTTTTAACATGTTTGTTACACTTACATGTTTCCAATTTCAAATGTTAACACAGATGTTCAGAGTAAATACAGATTGTAGTTTTTCAAATGATGATTTAATTTAGTTTGGGGAAACAGCTCCAACTTTACCTCATGTAGAAAAAGTCATTTCCTTCTAAACCTAATACGTGGTTTTGTCATCTAGCAAGAACTGCAATCAAGCATTTGCAATAACTAATAAAAAAGCACTTGGGACAATTGTGTTGGTGACAGCTTTTGTTATAATATCAATAATATTCATATGAATATGGGATACTGTTACATGTTTGCACAGACTTTTGTGGAATATGGAGACACTCCTGGCATTATATGAGCAAAGTGAGACTCATTTTTTAGGGTTGGTGGAGATGAGTGTGAAGATCCAAACAATCCCTGTCAGTGATGGAGAAGCTTTGATGAAATATTTGGTAAAAAGTTCACCAGCATGAAGGAAATGAAGTTTCAAACTTTCCTTAGGAGGAGCCCAGCACGCCTGCTTAAAGAAAGTGAGTGTGGCGATGTGGATGCTTGCAGCGACTGCTGTATAGAGCCATCCTGCTACACATGAAACACATCAGAGTCATAACTGTTATTTTAGTCACGTGTTTTGTTTATTATCCTTATTGTTTTATCTGGGACTGTTTGCAGACATCTCAGAGAGAGGAGACACCAGCATCTGAACAGAGACTCAAACCAGCAACCTGCAGCTCCCTGCTTGGCTGCTCCAGTTTTCTCCTCACTCATGTTGCCCACCAGTGATTTCTAGCTGCCCACCCACACAGCAGGCTAGAATATGCGCTGAGCCTCAGCACCCAATACTTGGACATGTTTTCTTTATTAAATAATGAACCAGACCCCAAAAGTAAACAGCTGTTATTGCTAGGCAACGGGAGCAGCCTTTGGCGATGCAGCACCTGACATTCCTGACCATGTGGGCGGAGCATGCATGAAATGGAATGTTCAGTAGAACTGTGCAACACAAGCACTTAGTTCCAGCATGTTTCATTGTATCCAGACACAGCTAGAGACACATCTACAGCAGCATCTCTGTGCAGGACAAACGACAGTTGACGAAGAAACATCGAAAACTTCACTTCACTCCTCTACAAAACGTTGGCTCCTTTGTTTAAAAGGCCAAAATGAATCGAGGGAGAACGAGAAGAGGATCGGCGAGTGCTTCACCTCACAATTCAGTACAGCTGATTAACCTGCAAGAAGAACTTCAAATGATACAGGCTGAAAATATCAAATTAAAAGAAGAGGCAGAAAAATCAAGAGGAGAAGCTAAAGATTCAAAGTTTGAAACTGATGTAGTATTGCAGGAATTACTGCATGTGGGTCTCAAACTTAAAGGAGAGAAAATGGGAAACAACAGGCAGAAAAGGAGAATGAAAAGATGAAGAAAGAACTGTTGGAAGCTCAAAAGCATTGGAGGAAGAGAAAAGCACAGCACAAGAAGCCAACAATAAATATCAAACTGCAAAGAAGGAGGCAGGAAATGTGATGCAGGAATTACAGGAGGTGCAGGAAGCTTTTGAAGAGGGAAAAAAGAAAATGCAGTTGGCAACTCAAGAAGCTGCAAATGTAACAGCTGAAGCTGAAACACTAAGAAGGAATTACTGCATGTGAAGCAACAACTTGAAGAGGAGAAAAGACGTAAAGATGAGGCAGAAAATGAGATTGAAAATTTGAAGAAAGAATTGTTGGAAGCTCAAAAAGTGTTGGAGGAAGAGAAAATGAAAATACAGGAAGCAAAGAAAGAAATGGAAGATACAAAGAGTCACACTGAAAACATGAAGAAGGAACTGATGAAAGTACTAGAAGAACTTGCAGAAGAGAAAATTGAGGTGAAGGTATTCAAGAAAGAAATGACGGTGACCAAGAAAGACTGCAAAGACGCACTGAAAGAAATGCGAAAGCACAAAAAGGAAGCTAAAGAGCTCCTCAAACACAAAGGGAAACTGGCCAAACAGCAGCTGAAAGAAAAATTTAAAGATGCCGAGGAGCAGCTCAACAAGACCTTAAACGAACTGAAGGCAAAAGAAAAGAAAAGCAAGCTGAGGACAGGAGGGGATTCTGGAGCAGACTGCTGAGAAAGAACTGACCCAGCAGCATCAATAGTTTCTTCCTCCTAATGTTAAAATCTCCACCTTTCTTTCACCCCATCCTTCTTCTTGGGATGTTTGTTTGTTTTTTAAAAACTGAAATGCACAAATAAAATTGCCATAACTTGACCTCATGTTGCCTGCTTCTTTTCTTGTGTGTCTGTGGATGTAAAACAGTAACACACTTTCTGCTCTGTGTCTTTAATTGTAAATAAATGCAATATGTTTTCATTTTAAAATGCAGTGCAAAAAACTTCTGCTCTGAATCTTTTTTTTAGCAAAAAGCTTTTTGTTGGCTGTTGTGGAAGTTTTCCATTTAAATAAAGCCTGCAGACGAGCGGTGAGCGGTAGCTAACATTCTTTAATCAAACACACAAAGAACAGACAACCAAGCTTGATGAAGTCCCTGCATGACCGCGGGACAGACGGTCAGCAGAGTCTGAGCCCAGCATGGCTCTCAGTTAAATACCTTCTCCAGGAACAAAAGGCAGTACACAGCTGTTTCACACTCCCTTGCTGCCTCCCAGAGTCCTCAAAGACAAAAGACTCTTCCTGTGGAGTCGTCTGCTTCCCCCAACTTCCTTACTACACCCCCACCATTTGTCTTACTGTATGAGTGTGAGACATGTTAAAATCCAGTGGCACCAAGGCATCATACAATAAAATAATGTGATTAATACATAAGTAAAAGAAATTCCTTTACATGCCCCTTCCTGATTTCTTATGTTTTAAGCATCTTGGAGACCTAGTCATAGTGTATGCTCTGAGTTGTTCTCGTTCTTTATAACTATGCCTGTATGCCAGAATTTTTTTTAATTACAAAATCCAAAACAATTAATATGTATATAATGTGAAAAACTCAACAGGACATGGGTGCTGATACGCTGGAAAAGAGTGAAAATGTATTTATCGAATATGAGCACAGATTTCATATAAGGAGAGTGTATTTAGTATTAATATAGCGTTAGCAACACTTACCTTCTCCCATTTAGAAAAACGGTCAGCTTTAATTATCATGTCCACCAGGACGACATGGTTTCCTCTTGCTGCCACTTCCAGACATGTTTTTCCCTGCTGTGTACATTAGATGGCCAGAAAAGCATTGCTTTGTTAGAAGACACAGCTATGAGTGTCATAGATCTGAATCTATACTAAAACAGTTATCATGATGCTGTGCTACAAGATTAACTTTGTCCGGACAAAGAAAAAGTGAACTACGCATCAAGGTTTCAAATGGTGTGAAAAAAGATAAATATTCTACTTAAGACTAGCGTAACAAAGATCTTAATTAATATGATATAGAAGGATCAATGCACCAACTGAAAACTGTTTTTATTTGTTAGTGTACAATGTGAAATACACAGCTCAAAAAAGTAAAGGAACACTTGATCATCAACCACAAGTTAAACTTTACGGATATCAAGCTGTCGTCTTCGGAAGTGTAAGTGAATCAATTAATTTCACCTTTTTTTGGTGCAAATCAAACAGGTGTACTGAAGACGTTCCAAGACAAACCTTACTGTGTTATAGCACCACTAGAGGGGGTTGCCCTACTTTACTAAGGAGGTGGCAGATGACATCAACAGGATGTACAGCGTTGGTAGGGAGGCATTACAGTATTCACATGCAGGTAAAGGGGGTGTGAGTGTGTATATGGGTGTGTGTGGTCATACGGAATGCAAGTAAATACGTTATCCTCCGACACACCTCTCATCTGTGCAGAACTGCGCTGAACACGTTCCCAACCGGAAGTACAGATACCGAGGTGCATCATGGGTAACGTAGTATAAACAGTTACAATGAACAAGCGGACTTTTAACAACTGTAGTAGTTGGGGGAGCCTCGTAGTGGGTGTGTGAGTATAGTGTGGCAGCCATTACATGCTTGTGTGTCTGTTCTGAGAGAAACCATACCTTTGTAACGGGCTGGCGCCGGTGACTACCCATCTCCGCACATGTACGTACGGACAGAGTAGAGCCGTGGAGACTTGGCTTGTATGGTCTTATGTTGCTAACATCAAATAAATGTGTTGTTCGATTTAACTGACTGACTTTGAGTTATCCAGCTAACCTCCACACCACATGCTCGCTGGACCTGCTAGCTGTTCTTCCTCGCCAAACTGCTCTTACAGTTCCAAGACAATCTCCATAAAGTAAATGATTCTGCAGGTGATGGGACAGACCATTATCTCTCCTAGAATTGCTTTTTGATATCCTCGTCAGTACTGGTTTGATGAGAGAGTACCTGCAGCACATCCAGGTTACACTGTGGCCATGTCCACACTGAGACGCCGTTTTCGGTGAAGGAAAACGCAGCGTTTTGAAAACGCTATCCAAAGCCGTTTTCGTGTTGCAGTGTGGACAGCGAATCCCGAGCCTTTTCAAAAACGATGACACATTTTAGTGATGTAATGCAGTCATGTGACCAATCAAACTAAGATAGCGGAGGGCATTATACAGCGTTTGTTTTGTTTGCTCTCAGTTTTGACAGCGCTATTAAAGATTAATATCAGTCTGTACGTGCTCCAGAGCTTTTCTTCAAATTCTTTAACTCTCACTCGCTTTTGCAACTTTGTACTTTTGTGTTACTCGCAGCAACAACTCCACCTCATTGTTAGTCCATTTTAAAACTCGGTGCTTTTCCTCAACATTTGCCGCGACGTTTCAAAGAGCCGGAAAAGTAAATAAATGGCAGAAGGAAATGAGGCAGGCCGAATCGTCTTGCGTTTCACGCATGCGCAGGACTGGAACGGAAGCGTTTTCGGCTGTTTCAATGTGGACGCACAACTCTGTGAAAACGACTGAAAACGATAGTGTGGACGCGGAACGTTTTCAGACAAAAACGCCATTTTCAAATTTTAGTGTGGACGTAGCCTGTGTTTCCCAGCACAGTCTGAAGAGTGAGGAGCAGATAGTAGGAGACAGGCCAGAGCTGAAAGTTCATCGCAGTGTGAATGCTAGATAGAATTGTGTGTATGCAGGTTTGAATTGGTAAATTATGTTGTGTAAAGCTCCTTTATCATTAACCATGCTAGCCAACAGTACCCTGTACTGCTGGGATGAAATCCTCAGAGCTTGTCTTAATGCACTCGGTCCTGGGTTTGTGTTGCAGGGCAATACCCAGTGACCTGGCAATTATATAATGATGAAGACACTGATGTCACTGCCTGGCCCTCATGTTTCACACACCTGAATCCCTCATCCAAATCTGGGAGGAGATCCCCCCACCACCATCCACCATCTCATCCAGCCTTCAAAAGGCTGATGATTATGGTTTTCACTGACCTTTGTGACCCCTGACCCTTCTTGTTTTCAATGAATTTCAAAACGTACGTCAAAGTAACATGAATATTTTTTAAGGTCTGATGTGTGACTTTAGTACTCCATTTATTGTTTTGAGCAGTGTACATAATATTCTGTGTGAAGCTGTGTGTGGTACCTTATCAGTTAGACTGAGACTAACTCTAGAAATCAGCATCATCTCAGCCAGGTCATGCCAGCCATGTTCTGAGGCAATGTGTAGTGCGGTCTGCTGCCTCTGTCGCCCACATGACAGACAACCATTAAGTAAATTACTGTATTATAGGACATTTTATTATGCATTGTGTTCATGTGGCTGTGGAACTTTGTACTTACAATGTCAGTGGCATTCAGGTTGCTGCCAGCATCGATAAGCAATCGTACAACTTTTGTGTGATTGTTGAAAACAGCCAGGTGGAGTGGTGTGCAGTGTTGCTGTTTCAAAGAGAAACAGGTATTAAAAAGCTGCTCTCTATGATATTAACTTTTAAAACGTTTACAAGTGTTTACTGCCTAATTTTAGATTTCTTCTTCATTTTATGCACCAAAATGCTAACATGCTAACATACCACTGTGTAAGAATACCCATATGGAAAAGATATATATAAATCTTATAAAGCTTTGTGTTATGTGAAACTTGTGTGAAAAGCATACAAGAGTGAAAACAGATATAAGATCCTTTGATAAATTATATAAATGAAACTTGTTTTGGATACTTACTAAAACAATATATGAAAGTAATGAGAAAGTGGCCACTTTCATGAGTAAATCATATAAGCCTTATATGAAGTAAGCCAAATCTTATGCAAGTCTTTTATAAATTTCTTCTATTTCTTTTGCATATGGGTACTTTAAAAGAATTATCATAATTATTTTTTTCCGGAGATAGCTAACAGTGCTTACATTGTTTATAGCATCTACATTGATTCCTGCCTTCAGCAGCAAGCTGGCCTCTCTGTCATGACCATGCTGTGCCACATAATGGAGAGCATTCATTTTTCTCTACAGACAGAAGATAAATATTAATTCATGAAAATAACACTGCCAACCCACTCTTGAATTGCATATTTAAGTAAACAAGCATACATTAGTTTGTGCATTGACATTACAGCCAGAATCCAGCAGAAGTCTAACGCATTCATAGTGACCTCCGTCAGCTGCCGTGTGCAATGGTGTGAGATCATCCTACAACAACACAATACAACAGGTACAATCAAGGTCAAAGGTTTTTACAGTTTAAAGCTTATTATTCACAAGCATGAAGAAATGTGTTTTTTCAGGTTCAAAATGCTTGAGTGATCCCAAGAGTTTGGTGAGTAGGAATCATTTTTGCTTAGAAGGGTCTTGCAAGGCCAACAGGTCCTGGGTCAAAGGGCCAGGCTACTTGAAACTAGAGAAATCGCTGTGATTAGGAGTCAGCTACCTCACCCAGTTTACTGAGGAAACCACATAAACTAACATTGCTAATAGTTTTTCCCCATGCTGTGAAAGTTCTTTTATTTTTTGGCAAATTCAAATCTGGTCTTCCTGTTCTTGAGCGTAACCAGTGGTATACACCTTGTTGTAAACTGTCTGAGCTGGCTAGTATATTCCTTCTGGTTGAAAATGTCCCAAATGTTATTTTGGCTCCTCATAAAACTTTTTAATCTCTCTCTGATATGTTTATTTAGTTTTTCATTTAATGATGGCTTCTGTTGCTTCATCAACATCTCCTTAAAACTCATATTAAGTGTTCCAGTAAACAGCTACCCAATGCCAAGTGTAAATGGTTGTCTGCCTCTCTGTGTTAGCACTGTAACAGATTGGCAGACTGTTCAAGGTATACCCTGCATCTCTCCCCATGGAGGTGAGATAGGCTCCAGCCCATCAATGACCCTGAATGGGTGAGTGGATGGCTAAAAAGAAAACAAGAAAAATGCTTCAGTGGCAGGACCCACTGATTGATAGGATTCACCCTTCTTTAAGGTTCTGGACATCATAAGGCTGCTCTGGTCTGCAACACAACACACAGTTAGGTACACAAGTGTTTTGGCAATTACAATTTCTGTAATTTGTTCAATCTTAGCCTTCGCTTGTGTCAGCATCTCTTTGGACCTCATACAAAGGGTTTCACTGGACATCTACTAAATGTAAGTTCAACACTTATCTCTATATCTCTGCTTAATTACTGATAGAATAATTATGGGAAAAGTCTTAAATGGCCACAAAACTGCTTGGCAGCCATGTATCCAAATGCTTTTGAGCCTCAAAGGTTTAAAAGAGTATAAAAATTTCTATAATTCCTAAACAATTAATGCAACACTTCTGTTAAACCCTTTATAACAACCCTGTTTCCTGCACCCTGTCCAGAGGTGCTGGATCTGGGGGGCATCCGTTCATCTGGGTCTATGGCTTGCAAAGCCTTGCTCCCTGTGGGACGCTGTTCTTGATGGTGGGATTGGTTTGGGATGGCAGAATGGGTGGCTTCAGGGGTGGGCACACGGTTGTCATAGAGATGTATGGGCTCTTTCTTCGGTACTCTTAGGGGTGCATAACAAGTAAACTATCATGGTAACGGTAAATGGTAAATGGACTCACACCCATTCGCACATGCTCTTTGGTAAATGGTAAATGGCCTGTATTTGTATAGCGCTTTCTATGTAAGTCCTTTTTATCTAATGTTCACACACATTCTTCGCGTGCTGGATGCATCTGAGAGAAACTTGGGGTTACTATCTTGCCCCAAGATAATTGCCATGCAACCTTGTTTGGTTTCCCAGATGTACAAATCATGGCAAACCTCCTGGCACTTAACAGCGAACACTATATTATTCTATTTGTGTTGGTGGAACCAATTTTTGGCACAGTGTGTTTTGGGGTTTAAAAGCCATAGTAACTCTGTGTTTAGAAAAAAATGTGTCTCAATTATGGCCTGGCCTGTATTTATAGCGCTTTACTAGTCCCTAAGGACCCCAAAGCGCTTTACATATCCTGTCACACACACATTCACACACTGGTGATGGCAGCTACGGTGTAGCCACAGCCACCCTGGGGTGCACTGACAGAGGCGAGGCTGCCGGACACTGGCGCCACCGGGCCCTCTGACCATCACCAGTAGGCAACGGGTGAAGTGTCTTGCCCAAGGACACAACGACCGAGACTGTCCAAGCCGGGGCTCAAACCGGCAACCTTCTGATTACAAGGCGAACTCCCAACTCTTGAGCCACAATCACCCCAATTGTTCTGATACTCCTGATACATACGGGATCACTAAGGGTTTTTGCTTAGACGGCAGTTTCACCTTCTTTCCTGGATCGGCTGGAGCTTTTTTTAGGTGCCTTGGATGAGTGACAAAACATTTCTTCCACTGAAAACACTACATCCAGATGAACAGAATCAACTTTTTGAAATTTCCTTACCTGGATGCTTGAGCATGCATTAAGACATTTTATATTAGAAACTGTGTGGGAGTTTCCATGGGAGTGTATGGGAATGAGTCTAACAAAAGCATAGGGTATATTTTCTACTTCTTACAATAATTGTAAACCTTGTAATATGTCTGTTGACTAACTAGTAAAAATAACAGAAGTAACTAAAGAACAAACAGAATTTCTTGTGGAAAACTGAACCAGCATGTGTGTGGGATGAGGCTGAAGGATAGTTTACCTTAAGAAACTACAATCAGCAGAAGCAATTCCTAGCAATGCTGCCGTTATTTCAGGATACATTCATAAGGTTGGAAATTAGACTTATCAATAGAACATATGTAAAGATTTCTGACATGGTTTTTTTAATCTTTTTATTATTTTTCTTATTAGCATGAAACATACATAAAATATAATTACCATTATATAAACAATCACACATCTATGTCTATACATACATATTTATATACCTAAATGAGTATATATATACAAAAAAACAAAACAAAAAAAGGAGAAAGAGAGAGAGGGGAAAAAAAGAACAATACACCTGCCCAGACCAATATATATAAACTTGGAGCAGATATGGGAGGAGGCCATCCCTCCCAGCTTACTTATTAAAGTAATCTATAAAGGGCTGCCAAATTACGTAAAACCGTTTAACATGATCTCTCAATGAAAACTTAATTTTCTCCAACTGTAAATAATACATTGTGTCTCTTAACAAAGCAGAGTGAGTTGGGGGGGCTTTATTTTTCCAATTCAGAAGTATAAGGCGTCTTGCAAGCAATGTTTTAACGCTCAAAACATGAATTTGTTTGTCATTTAAGTTTTTAACTGTAGCTACACCAAAAAGTGCCATTACTGGGTCTGGGGGGAGCTGTTTTTTTAAAAATATCAGACAATGTTTTAAATATTTTAGACCAGTAGGTGGCGATGCTGGGACATGTCCAAACACAGTGAGGCAGAATTCTGGCCACATCGATCACATCTTGAGTCAGCCCCTGGAAACATCCTTGAAACCTTCAGTTTAGACAGATGGAGTCTGTGCAGGACCTTAAATTGTAGCAGTCCGTGCCTGCAGCAGACAGAAGTGGAGTGAACCAGTTCTTGTGCTTTGGTCCATTGATCTTCAGTGATGTTAGTACCCAGTTCCTCACTCCAACTGTTTCTCAAGTGATCCAATGTAGTTGTACTGTCTATTTGCGAAAGTTGGTTGTAGATCCTGGAAATAGCTCCTTTCTTTAGCGGGTTCATCGGGAACAGATCATCTGAAACTAGCTTTTGTGGTTCATTGGGAAAGGATGGAAACGTTTCTTTAATAAAATGACGTATTTGTAAATACTTGAAAAAATCATTTTCTATGGAAAGTTTTTGCTGAAGTTGTTGAAACGAAGGAAAGAGATTATCAATAAACAGATCCTTGATTGTGTGTATCCCTTTGGAAGTCCATAGCTGGAATGTGGATCCTGAGAACAATGTGTATGCTTGGTTATGGATTAATGGTGTAAAGATTGAACATTGACGCCAATGAAAATGTTTTCTAATTTGAGACCAAACTTTTAGTGAGTCAGACACTACCGGATTTTTACATTTATGCTTACCCAGATCTGAGTTTGAATGAACCAAAGATTTAAGAGTATTACAGAAAAAAGTCAAACTTTCCATCCGTTCCCAATCAGGTCTATGTTCCCCACCCCAGAATGACATACAACGTATGTTACAGGCCCAATAACAGAGCTGAAAGCAAGGCAACCCCATTCCTCCTGTAATCTTGGCTCTGTGGAGAAATATCTTTTTTATTCTGGGTGTCTTCTTGTTCCAGATAAACTGAGAAATTAACTGGTCTATTTTCTTGAAAAAAGTTTTTGTGATCAATATTGGGATACATTGAAACAAAAATAAAAATTTGGGTAAAGTGCTCATCCTAATGATATTTACTCGTCCAGCAAGCGAGATGGGCAGTTTAGACAGTCTTTCCAAGTTCTGTTCAGTTTGATGGTATAAATTAATAAAATTAAGTTTGAAAAGGCCAGAGAATTCACGGGTTACAGTTATTCCAAGATATTTGAAAGTATTTGAGACGGTAAAAGGAAACAAAGTCAATGTAGCGCTATCTAACTTTTCTAAAGAACTAACAGGAAACAATATGCTTTTTGTTAGGTTGATTTTGTATCCAGAAATTTTCCCAAATTCAGTTAAAACTGTCAGAATTTTTGGCAATGATTTAGTAGGGTCAGTGATATATAGTAACAAATCATCTGCACAGAGAGACACCTTATGTTCTACACCAAATCTCCTTATTCCTTTATAATCCTTTGTAGAGCGTAATTGAATGGCGAGAGGTTCTATGACAAGTGCAAATAGCAATGGGGACAGAAGGAACCCTGGTCTTGTAGAGCGGTGGAGGAGGAAAGGACTAGAAGTTATATTATTTGTGTTAACCGAGGTTTTGTGTAAAGCAGCTTAGCAAGGGAAATATAATTAGGGCCTATGCCAAACTTTGACAGGGTCGAGAAGAGGAAACCTACTCGACCTGTCAAAGGCCTTCTCTGCATCTAATGAGAGTAGTATTTCTGACATGTTTTTAAAAAATGTTGGTTTGTGTTTTTTAAGAAATATTCTAGATTTACTAAGACACGTTTTAACATCGTCATTATGGGTTTTTCACTGTGGGCTGATAGAAAATGTAATTTATACCGCTTAAAATGAATAAACATGTACAAAAGAGAAGGATTCGTAAATGTTTCTGAACATACCCCTTTAAGTGTACAGGCTCATCATCATACTTACTATATTCCTTTTATCCACACTGACACCAGTCTCTAGGATCTTCTGTAGGATCTCTGCGTGCCCTTTCCTTGCTGCTAGGTGCATAGGCGTGTTTTCTTTCTGTAATCCAGACATAACAATATATAATAACTAATATATATATACATATATATATATATATATATATATATATATATATATATATATATATATATACACATATATACATATATATATATATACACAAATCACATCCAGTTTGCGTTTAGTTAGACCATCATTTATTTTTCACACACCTCCAGGCTGTGTAAGGGCTATCTGACCAAGAAGGACAGTGATGGTGCGCTGCACCAAATGGCCTGGCCTCTACAGTCACCTGACCTAAACTTAGTGGAGATGGTTTGGGATGAGATGGAGCGCAGAGTGAAGGCAAAAGGACCAACAAGTGCTCAGCATCTCTGGGAACTCCTTCAAGGCTGTTGGAAAACCATTTCAGGTAATGACCACATGAAGCTCGTCCAGAGAATGCCAACAGTGTGCAAAGCAGTAATTAAAGCAAAGGGTGGCTGTTTTGATCTGAATGAAAATATACAATATAAAAAATGTTTTGAGTTATTTCTCACTTTTTCGTTTACTTCATAATTCCATGTGTGTTCATTCATAGTTCTGATGCCTTCATTGAGAATCTACAATGTAAATAGTCATGGTTCTCACTTGGCCTTGTTTTTATAAACATTTCAACACATCTTTTCAAGTCAGTTTCAAAACTCTGAAATGCTGGCTGCTGCTCAGCACAAATTACCTTGGCAGAAGTATGGGAGAGCCTAACAAAGCTTTTTTGCACAGCTTCTGCTTGTATGGCTAAACACATCTGCTGATTCAAAGTGTGTGTATGTGTGTCCATGTCTAGCTATCTTTGTGAGGACCGAAATCTGCATTCTGCTATACTTGTGAGAACCAACAGTCACTTGTGAGGACACACAACCTGGTCCTCACAAATTTGAAGGCATTTCAAGGCATTTTTGAGGCTCAAAATGTGGTTTTAGTGTCAGGGTTACAATTAGGTTATGTTTAGGTTTAGGGTCAGGGTTAGGGTTAGGCATTCATATTTAATGGTTAGGGTAAGGGGCTAGGGAAAGCATTATGTCAATGAAGGTCCTCACTAAGATAGCTGAACGGGGTTGTGTGTGTGTGTGTGTGTGTGTGTGTGTGTGTGTGTGTGTGTGTGTGTGTGTGTGTGTGTGTGTGTGTGTGTGTGTGTGTGTGTGTGTGTGTGTGTGTGTGTGTACCTTGTCCTTCAAACCAGGCATGTAACCCATTCCAATCAGAAATTCAACTGCTTCAAGCTGTCCATGTTCAGCAGCTAGGTGTAGAGCTGTCTTCCCTGACTGAGCAGAAAGACATACACATATGTTACATATAGTGTATACAATAGTGCTTCACTGAGTGCTTCACTGAGTGCTTCACTGAGTGAATGGGTTAAATGCAGAGCGGGATTTCCCCACAGGGATCAATAAAGTATGCATTAGTATTATTATTATTACAAACAAGATATAATAATTCCATTAATATCCATATAATAAAAATTCCATTCATTTTCAGCTTGATTTATTGATATACTGCTTATACACTGCTCAAACATGTAAGGAAACACTTAATCTGACTATAGCATCAACTAAATAAAATTTCTGGGATGTTGATCTGGTCAGCTAAGTAGTAAAGCACTCAAAGCGCTTTGTACCGGATTCAAAAGTGATGGGCTAAAGCTTAGGTCTCCCAGTTTGCCTACCAGATGCTGTGGGATGATGGTATTCTTCTCCAGGTGTGCAAGGTTCCGGTACAGAGCCAAGGAGATGGCATCCTCAATGGAGTGAGTTTGCCAGTAGGCAAACTGGAAGGGGTCGAATTTGGAAGGGAATCTAGAGCTAATTGACCAGGAAACATCTCCTGGACCGCGAGTCTTCTATGAAGAGCCGTTTTTCTTTGTCACCAGCGGTCGCGGCCGCTACTGTGTGCTGGCGGGGCCCGTGTCCCGGGGACGGAAAAGCATGAGGCAGCAGGCAGCGGCCCGCTCTGGCGCCAAAACGCTGATGGTAGAAACAGAGGTCCTGTCCACGGCGCCGCTGCGCCACGATCTCTGCCATAAGCAAAGGGTGGGATGCTCCGGGGCAGGTCGGCGGGGAAGTGGAAGGTGCCGCCGGCGAGGCAGGAGAATACGATCCGCTACCTCAGCCAGGGAGCGATAATCGTTCGCACCCAGGAGCGGAGAGTTGGCGAGGCTGGCTCTCACGGCTACCGGCAGCTGTCGGAAGAAGATGTGGGCGAAGAGCGAAGAGGAATCCCCTGTTGTCCAGTCCAAGCAAGGATAGCATGTGCTCCATCAGTTCCAGAGCCGTACCGCCACCCAGGCCTGAGAGGGAGAGGAGCTTTTCGGCTCGCTCTGCGTCAAAAAGGGCATAGCGCCGAAGAAGCAGGTCCTTAAGGGCGGTGTATTTCCCTTGGGTCCCAGAGGAGAGTCAATGCACGACGGGTGGCTAGCGGGTCGAGCAAGGCCACCACATAGTGATATTTCGTGTCGTCGTCAGCCAAGATGCCACGAAGAGCGAACTAAGCCTCCATGTGCACGAACCACGACGGGGGATCGTGAAGCCAAAAGTCCGGCAGCTCAAGCGCCACAGCAAAGGCAGCTGCAGCAGGAGGCAGAGGTCTGGCAGCCGCTGATGCATCCAGAGCGGAGCCGGTGCCACCATCAGGCTGCAGCATGCTTGACTCAGGGGTCACCAATGTGGAGGTAAACACAGGCGACACGAGGGCTCTTGACTAACACTCCTCATGTATTACTCATTACCACACAATTGAATACTTTTCCCTCCAAAACACAGCAACAACACTTCCTCAGAACTGGGTGTGAGTCGAGCCTCCAGTGGTCCACCACAGTAGGATTATATTTAACTGCTAAAACTTTCTGAACAAGTTTTACACCACTGAAAAAATAATATGTGAGGGCATCATTTTTTATATTTTGACTTTCACTTCCACTCCATTAAGTGACGTGGCATCCTTTATTCCTAGCACATTACTTAGTCCATATCAGTATAGATATCCAACATGATTTTATGTTTTGAAAATGTTCCTTTTTGGGGGGCAGTGTATTTTGCGCAAATAATTTTTTGCTAGGAGATGAGAAAAGAAAGGAAGTGTTTGTTCTTTTTATGACTCAGTTAGTACAAAATTGCTCTGTAAAGCTAGTAGTCCGTCACCTTTTCAACTCCATCTAGACTGATGCCTTCTAGGTGCGCCAAGATGAACTCCAATACTCTGATGTGTCCTCGCTGAGCAGCACAGTGCAGCATATTCAGACCATCCTAAGATGAAAAGGATATCAGGTCAAGACAATAACCTTGTTATAAATAAGTTGCATTGCAACCCAATAAAAAAAAAAGAAACCCTGTTAAATTCAGATTTTTTAACAGTTCAATGAAATATGGCAGCTCTTACTTTGTTTTCAGAGTTGAGCTTGGCTCCACAGGACACCAGGATCTGTAGGATGTTTAGGTGACCAAACCAGGATGCCAGAAGCAGAGCATTCATCCCAAACTGTGGACGATATTTACAAACTAATGAATCAGAACACAGAGAAAAATGTCTGACATAGGAATGGGAATCAAAAACCGGTTCTATTAGAAGACTGGTTCCCAGTAGTTTAATTCCTTGGAATTTAGTCTGCCTGCCTATCGATTCCAGTTGCACTTGCGCTACAATCAGCTGAATTTAGTGTGTGCTGGAGGACGAAAATAGTGGCACAGTCCACAGTTTGTATATGTACATTGCTATTATTCTTATTGCACAAAAAGGACAAGACCGTGACAGTAAGATGGAAACTGCATCCAGGACAGAAACAACTGCATTATGTTGCTAACACAACTTTGGCTCTTTGCATGCACAGACAGCATAACAAACCCATCATTGTCAAATTTCTCTAAGATTATGTTAAATGATGGTTTTCACAAGGTATAGCAATTCTATTTTCAATTCAGTTTTATTCATATAGTGCCAAATCACATAACCAGTTGCTGCAAGTCACTTTATATTTAAAGGTAAAGACCCTACAATAATACAGAGAAAACAGACAGCCAAATGACCCCCAGTGTCTGACAACTGATGGTACCCCCTGAAAACCAGAACCAATGCAGGGGAATACTGATGTATGACTACCAGTTGAACAACTTTGGCAAACATTGGTGTGGCTGCTCATTGGAAGACACAGTGGATTCGAGCATGTCAGGTGAGTATGGGAACTACCCTCAACCATTTCAACTGAAGGCATGTTTTTTAGCTAACTGTTAGATTACTGAATTCTTATTGTACACATGGGCTTACAAGCAGGATATGGCTGTAGGGCTATTCACAGACAAAGCTACTAGCTATAATTCTAACTATTCTAAAAATGTCACTACCCATTATGAACTAAATATCAATTTAATTAGTGTTAATTAGTGTCCTAGATGTATGAGACTGACAGCAAAACCCAGGGTAAAATAACTTCAGCAACAATACAAATCCACAGTGAGTTATTCCCCATATCAAGGAATGGTGTTATGGGCGTGTTATCGTTACCACGTTTGCGAGACTAGTAGGGAAGGAGCGCAACATCTGCATGCATGCACAGACTAGCCTATGCCGACAACCCCACAATGTTCCAACTATGAATGCACCGAACCAAACTGTAACAGGAACAGGTGTGTGCCGCTGTCTTTATCCACATCTGTAACAGAATACAATCCCCTTTCAGCTTCCCCCTTGAACTTACAAAGGAATTTTGTAACTAAGGAAGTGAGAAATTGTTCTTGTATCAGTTCAAGTTTACTTACACTGTCAGTCTCATTAATGTCCATATCATGCTCCAGTAGGAGACGCAAAGCCTGTTCATTCCCAGCTCCTGCTGCCCAGTGCAGTGCTTTTCGGCCTACCTACACACACACACACACACAAAAGAAAATAACAGCACAGCGTATTTCTTGTTTGTTAGTGCTGACATTTTGGATTAAAATCACTTGTCCATAATAATTCCTTTGAGCTCATTCATTCGTTCTTGTGGCAGCTGAGTGCGATGCGGCAGGAATGAGAATCAGGACACCCAAGTCTGAGGCCGTGGTCCTTAGCTGGGAAAGGGTAGAGTGCCCATTCTGGGTAACGGACAAGTTACTGCCCCAAGTGGAGGAGTTTAAGTATCTCGGGTCTTGTTCACAAGTGAGGGGAGATCGACAGATGGATTGGCTGCAGTGATGCGGACGCTGTACCAGTCTGTTGTGCTGAAGAGAGAGCTGAGTGTAAAAGCCAAGCTCTCAATTTACCGGCCGATCTACATCCCCACCTTCACCTAAGGACATGAGCTTTGGGTAGTGAAAGAACAAGATTGCGGTCAGCCATCCGGGAGGGGTTCAAAGTAGAGCCGCTATGCTTCCACATCAAAATGAGCCAGTTAAGGTGGTTCGGGCATCTGACAAGGATGCCTCCTGGGTGCCTCCTGGGTGAGGTATTCCGGGCATGTCCCACTGGGTGGAGGTCCCAGGGCAGACCCAGGACACGCTGGAGAAAGTGTCTGGGGAGAAGGAGGTCTGGGCTTCTCTGCTTAATAATAATAATAATAATAATAATAATAATAATAATAATAATAATAATGGATTGCATTTATATAGCGCTTTTTGAGACCCTCAAAGTCCTTTTCAATTCCACTAATCATTCACTCTCACATTCACTGGTGGAGGCAGCTACAGTTGTAGCCACAGCTGCCCTGGGACAGACTGACAGAAGCGAGGCTGCCATATCGCACCATCGGCCCCTCTGGCCAACACCAGTAGGCGGTAGGGTAAAGTGTCTTGCCCAAGGACACAACGACCAGGATCGAACCGGTTGTAAATAACAAATATACATTTCAAAAAACATGGTGCAGAAACATTTTGTACAAGTCAAAGGAGCTTGCAAAGAAAAGCGTCTGGACTTCTTTAAGTTGCTTGAAGACGTTTCACCTCTCATCCAAGAAGCTTCTTCAGTTCTAAGGTCAAATGGTGGAGAGTCCCAGATATAAACCCAGTGGGAGTTTCCCCCCCACAGAGGGACAAAAGGACCCCCTGATGATCCTCTAATCGCCTGAGCCAAGGTGTGAAACTGGGCGTGGGTCCCAATCAGCCAGAGTTTCGGGTGTGTTCATTGTGAAACCTGGCCCCACCTTATCATGTGATGTCCTGAGGTCAGATGGCCCAGGATGTGAGTGGGCGTTAAGGCGTCTGGGAAGGGATCTCAAAACTGGATTATAGATGGCAGAGAGTTGGTGTCGTAAGCCCCGCCTCTGTTCAAAGATGGTCGCTCACAGTGGACACACCATCTTTGATGATCTTTGATCACCGTCTCTGATTATCACTGGTTCAAATGTTTAGGGATAACTGGTAATTAAATTTGATAAGTAATTACATAAAAACAACAACAACAACACTAAATAGTCCACATTTTGACAAACATGCTAATAAGGTCTTCTTTAATTTCCGTACATAATCTGGCTACAATGTAGCTTGCCATCGCCAGTGTGTGAATGTGTGTGTGAATGGGTGAATGACTGAATGTAGTGTGAAGCGCTTTGGGGTCCTTAGGGACTAGAAAAGCGCTATACAAATGCAGGCCATTTACCATGTACCATGAGTCTGTACCAAGCATGTCACGACCTGCAGGATCAGCCAGGTGCTGATCAGAATCTCTCCACTCCTAGCCCTCCTCTCTTTTTCCCTCTCTCTCCCCCTCTCTCCTTCTCTCCCCTGTTTTGCCAGGGTGGAACTCATGGCTCAGCCCCGCCTGTTGGGTTATCATATAGCCCGACGGGCGGGGCTGAGATAGATTTTGGTCGCCCGACCGGAGATATCGCTAGCTCCGGGACGTCGGGCTAGCGATTTTGCGAGCCCTGTGGCGGGTTCACGCCCTCAGTCCACGCCTTCCTGGATTGTGAACACCTGGGCCTCATCAGACCAGCTGGTATATTAGAGGGAGGAGATCAGCTGTTCAACGCTGGATTGTTGTGAAGGCTCTAGTCAGTACACGTCTAGCTCAAGTTTCCTGTGCCTCTGTCTCAGAGACTTAACGAGTGTTTCTTTGTTCCTAGATTCCCCGGACCCGGATTGAACTGAGCGCATGTGTGATTTCCCCGTTTTCCCTGGAGTCCTGGACCCATGCCCCTCACGTCTTGTATATAGCACTAATCCCGCACTGTCTGTACATACACTTGGTGAAGATCTGTAAATAAACAGTCTCTGTTTAAACGCTACTCAGGAGTCGTGCGAGTGGATCCTCTAAGCAACCCATGACAAAGCAAGACAATAACCAGGGCATTATCTCAAAAAGGACTTTAGTATAGCATATAATATATTATGTTATAAAATATTATCCATCAATGCATATAGGTGGACCAAAGTCCAGGACAGCTTAGTTATTCTAAGACAAATTTACAAATTTTAAGTGCCGACGGCCCGCTAACATGCTCTATCAAAAATGTGCTTTGTTGTGTATCTGACGGACGAAAGCTAAACCAGTTCCACATCACTGAAGCTGCAGCATTTTTACGAACCAGTTCAGGTTCATCCGTTTCATTCAACGATCCGCTCTCGCCCTTCTCATTCTCCATCGCTGCCATGCTTTTTCCACCATGTGCGTATGAAAACAAAGGCACTGCGCATGCGCGTTTCACCCATACTCTATCGTGATATTTCATTTTCTTATCGTTGCCCAACATTATACCGGTATTACCGTGAACGGTATGATATGGCCCAGCCCTACAATTAACTTCATCATACATAAATAACCCAGGAGTCTTCGAAGTAACTTTGGTCCATCGAGACGACAATAAAATGATAATATGGTCTCCTGTTAGTTTGGAATTGAATATTGGTCAAGGGTTCCCTTTGTTCACTTCAGACTTTCAGTACAACTGTGTATCACACCAGTTACAAAATACTGATGAGCAGGACAAGGAACTGAGAGCAGTAGCAGTCAATGAGAAATCTGTTCCAGATCGTGAATAAAACCAGAAAGATAGTGACCGACTCTAGACAACAGAGGACAGATATTTATCAGAGCCTGTGTTTATCCTGGGACAGGACGTTAGTATACAGTTGTGTTCATAAATGGTAAATGGCCTGTATTTATATAGCGCTTTACTAGTCCCTAAGGACCCCAAAGCGCTTTACATATCCAGCCATCCACCCATTCACACACTGGTGATGGCAGCTACATTGTAGCCACAGCCACCCTGGGGCGCACTGACAGAGGTGAGGCTGCCGGACACTGGCGCCACCGGGCCCTCTGACCACCACCAGTAGGCAACGGGTGAAGCGTCTCGCCCAAGGACACAACGACCGAGACTGTCCAAGCCGGGGCTCGAACAGGCAACCTTCCAATTACAAGGCGAACTCCCAACTCTTGAGCCACGATCGCCCAAGTTTACATACTCTGGTATATGCATATAGATGATAAAAGAAAAACATTTCTTTCACTCATGGTTAGTGGTTGGCTGATGCCATTTATTGTCAAACAACTGCGGGAAAAGGTAGTTGACTTCTATAAAACAGGACAAGGAAATAAGAAAATATCAGCAGTGTCAAACTCCAGTTAAGAAGTGAAAAATGGGGGTTCTGCTGAAACCAAACCACAGTCAAGTAGACCAACTAAAATTTCAGCCACAACTGCCAGACATATTGTTTGGGATGCAGCTCCCCCAATCAGAAGCAGGACCTGCAGACTCTTAAAGGTGCAGAACACTCATACACAACAGACCAGACATACTGACACACCGATTCAAAACATGGCCAGGGCCACATAACAGAGTAAGCCAGAATGAGACTAGGCAAGAAAAGAAAATGAGAATTTAGAGGAGTAAATAAGACCCAAGGCTTGGATTTTCAAAGCCATCAACTGCTGACATCCAGAAAAGTCTGTGCTTCAGCATGCTTACTTTGTTTTTGGCATTGACGTCCACACCCTTCTTGATGAGTTCTTGCATTTTCCATGTGTCATTTCTTTTGGCAGCATCGTGAAAATCCTTTTCAGACCACAACACTGAAATCAGACAAAGAAAAAACCTTAAGCGTCAAATCTGTGCTGGAGTTGAAATGTCATTTGCCACCTTTGAACCTAACCCCACCCATTGCATAAAAGTTAATAATCCAAGAAAAAGTTTACAAGAGGAAGACGGGGGTGCAGAAAGAGTGAAATAAGCTACATGAATGTGTGAGCCTGAGTGATGCTCAGGCCACAGGTAAATGGCCTGAGCCAAGTGGCACCAAGTGGCACAACAATTCACTTCTGCCACAGTTTCTTTTGACATAAAGGGACTTTAGCATGACATTCAAGTTCCAGCACCACTCTGCTTGAAGCTAAAACTAAGTCTTTGATCTCTATTGGCATTCATGACCTGTGCTACCATTTGTAACTGTGGAGACACGTATGGCTGCAAAGGAAATGAATTTAGTATGGTTGTTAGCTGTACTTCCTTTCACCCTCATGTTGTGTTCTGGTCAAATTTGACTGATTTAAAACATTTAGCTTTGAAAGAAGTTTCATCAGACTGACCTGAACATTCCATGACTTTGTCCACAAAAGAGTCCACACACTCAAACGCAAAACACACTCCTTGGGTTCCCTGGCAACCACTACAGAAACATTTTCCCTAGTAGAGCCTCTCTTCCACGGAACAACTCCAACTGTGTTGGCAGTTCTCACAAACAGTTGAAACATTGTTTCAAAGGCATCAAACTTGTTTCATAAATTTGGTTTATAATACTTTTTTGGAAGCAAAGCCCCCCCAAAAAAGCATAGAGGCAACTATGTGGCAACACCAGGGCAGGTTGATATACCCTAAGTGAGGCTCTTGATTACACAGTTGATCTCTACACTGGTGAGGACAAGTGAGAGAATGAAACTGACAATGAGGATGAAATAGAGGAGGAAGTGTCAGAAGCTAAAGACAGCACTGAATATAATTTGTGCAATCCAGACCAAGATAAGATGAGGAGGAATTCAGTGATGAAGATGACGCTGCTGTCACATTCAAGAACTTCAGGAACTTATCCCCACCTGACAATCACGTTAGGTTTTCTGCTGAAAATTTCATTAGAACCTGCAAAATTTGCTGTGTCCTGGATGATGACATCAAATCCTGCTTCGAACAGTTACTGACTGTGTTGATCTAAACCATAGCGGCAAACTTTGAAGGGGAAACAAAAACAGAGTTACAAAGAAAGTTGGAAGGAAGTAACCCAGAAACAGATCAAAGCACAGATGAATCTTTGGATGTTGAGTAATGAATTCAGATCCAGAAATATTCAACCAGCAGTTTATGGGATGCAGCGTCTGGTCAGTCAATGTTTCAGGCCACCATGTCACTCCAATAATCTTACATGTTTTTTCGGGTGATTCTCTTTGACAGCCACGATACAGGACCAGGTTGTCATCACGAAGACAAACTGGCGGTGATCGGAGAGGTCTGGGGCAAGTGTGTGGAGTGCCAGCCACTATATTTCAAGTCCAAACGTCACAGTGACGGAGCATCTGCTGGCTTTTAGGGGACACTGCCCTTTTAAACAGCATGTGCATTCTAAATACAGCATAAAGAAATGGGCAACATATGAAATATAAAGTATTCCCAGTCACTTTTGACACAACAGGTGTTACTCTGTTTGACTGTAAAAATATTGTAAATGGTTTAAAAAAAAACAACCTGTTCCTGGTAACTTTGACCCAATGTAATCTGTGACAATTGTTTCTCGTAGTCAAAACAATGCAGAAATTACTTTTTAGTAGTCGAATTCACAGGTTATAACCTCGGATTAATGAAACATAAATAACAAACAGAAGTTTAGAAATGGTTTATATGAGAAACAGAAAAGCCACTGGGCTGCTCAGTCACTAACTAACATTACTGTACTTTTATTATGAGTGTTAGACTGTAAGAGTAACAGCTGAATACTAAATGTGTTCAAACAGCAGCATATTTCTCTCTCTCCACATCTGTAAGGACAGGTGAGAATGAGACTTTATTCGAGCTTTGAGGGATAAACTTCACATCTGACACTGATTCTTCTCTCTGATTACAGGAGCTGCACTCAGATTCAGACATCAGCAACACCCAGTGATGATTTATGCTGAAAACAGTTTTTTAGTACTGGAAAAAATTAACTGATGAAAAAAGAACAAAGGCTAAACTAAGTTAGCCCTAAGTTATTAAGTCGTATTGTATCACGCACTTAACTGTAGATTGTTATTCATACATTCATTTCATCACGTTTGGACAACTGTATTTCACTGTTTATATGTGTAAGAAAAAACTCCCTGGAATTCCTGCAGGTTGTTCAAAACGCTGCAGCAAGGCTTCTGACCAAATCTTCAAGTACTCACATGTGACGCCATCTTGGCATTGGCTCCCCATTGAATTCACATTCCATTTTAAGATTCTGATTCTGACTTTTAGAGCTCTCCATGGACAAGCAGCAGTTTACATTATTGAACTTCTACAGCCCTATGTCCCTAGCAGGTCCCTGAGGTCATGTGATCAGGGCCTACTTATTATACAGCATACGAGGCTTAGAACTAAGGCAGACAGAGCTTTTGCCTCTGTGGGCCCTAGAGGAACCCAGAGGCAGTAAATCGAGAGCACTGGCCTACAGCACTGGCCTAAATCTCGGCAGTGTCTCTCCTTCCTCAAAATACTTAAAGACTTCCATCTGCCTCTGAAGGTGCTCAAGAACTTCTACTCCTACACCATCCTGACGGGAAATACCTGCACCTGGTATGGGTAAAGCACCAAGCAGGACGAGCTCTCCAAAGAGTGCTTTGCTCTGCCGAACACATCATTCCCTCAGAGCTTCCTGACCTGCAGTCTGTTTACACCAAGTGGTGCAGTACCACAACCAGGAAGATTATGAAGGACCTCTTCCATCCCCACAATGGACTCTTCTCACTGTTGAGGTCAGGGAAGCGCTTCTGCTCCTTTAAGGCCAAAACAGGGAGAATGAGGAGGAGCTTCTTCCCCCAGGCTATTCAGGCCCTGAACCAGGTGTAGGACTGCAATCTCTACACATCACTGTACATGCACTTAACAACAACAATAATCGTCAGTTTTGACTGTTTGATCCAAGACTGTCAATCTGCACACGGCTGATTTGCACACCTTTTTATTTTAATTTTTAATTTCAGTGTGTTCTTGTATTTTTAATGGTTGAGAATTGCACAGCAATAAGCATTTCACTGCATGTTGTACTGTGTATGATTGTGTATGAAAAATAAAATTTGAATTTGAAAATTGAGCCCTGTGGAGTGCCACATGACATAAGCATTAGATGCTTCAGAACTGCAAAGGTTTACAGACAAAGATCTATCTGCCAGATAAGACCTAAACCATTTAAGCACAGTGCAATGCAATGATGTAGCAAAGATATTAAAAATGTTGTGGTCTATTGTGTCAGAGGCAGCAGTTAAGTCAAACAAAACCAGAACAACAAGTTTACCAGTCACATGCGATAAGGATGTTGTTAAACACCCTTAATAATACAGATTATGTGCTATAAAGAGTTTTACCCAGCCTCCCTGGGAAAGTCTATGCCAGGGTGCTGGAAAGGAGAGTCCGTCCGTTAATCGAACCTCGGATACAGGAGGAACAATGCGGTTTTCGTCCTGGTCGCGGAACACTGGACCAGCTCTTTATCCTCTCCAGGATACTTGAGGGTGCATGGGAGTTTGCCCAACCAGTCTACATGTGTTTTGTGGACTCGGAGAAGGCATTCGACCGTGTCCCTCGGGGTGTCCTGTGGGAGGTGTTGCGGGAATATGGGGTGTCTGGCCCATTGCTACGGGCCATTCGATCCCTATACGACCGTTGCAAGAGCTTGGTTCGCATTGCCGGCAATAAGTCGGACTTGTTCCCGGTGGGTGATGGGCTCCGCCAGGGCTGCCCTTCGTCTCCGGTTCTGTTCATAAATTTTATGGACAGGATTTCTAGGCGCAGCCAAGTGGCGGAGGGCTTTCGCTTTGGTGGCCTCAGAATCTCATCTCTGCTTTTTGCAGATGATGTGGTTCTGTTGGCTTCATCGGGTGAAGGCCTCCAGCTCGCACTGGAACGGTTCGCAGCCGAGTGTGAAGCAGCGGGAATGAGGATCAGCACCTTCAAATCTGAGGCCATGGTTCTGGGTGGAGTGCCCACTCCGGGTCAGGGATGAGTTCCTGCCCCAAGTGGAGGAGTTCAAGTATCTCGGGGCCTTGTTCGCGAGTGATGGGAGAAGGGAGCCGGAGATCGACAGACGGATTGGGGCTGCAGCTGCAGTGATGCAGACGCTGCACCGGTCCGTCGTGGTGAAGAGGGAGCTGAGTGTAAAAGCAAAGCTCTCAATTTACCGGTCGATCTACGTCCCTACCCTCACCTATGGCCACGAGCTGTGGGTAGTGACCGAAAGAACGAGATCGCGGATACAAGCGGCAGAAATGAGCTTCCTCCGAAGGGTGGCTGGCCTCTCCCTTAGAGATAGGGTGAGAAGTTCAGCCATCCGGGAGGGGCTCAGAGTAGAGCAGCTGCTGCTCCACATCGAAAGGAGCCAGCTGAGGTGGTTCGGGCATCTGACAAGGATGCCTCCTGGGCGCCTCCTGAGGTGAGGTGTTCCAGTCATGTCCCACCGGGAGGAGGCCCCGGGGCAGACCCAGGACACGCTGGAGAGATTATATCTCTCGGCTGGCCTGGGAACGCCTTGGTATTCCCCCGGATAAGCTGGAGGAGGTGGCTGGGGAGAGGGAGGTCTGGGCCTCTTTGCTTAAGCTGCTGCCCCCGCGACCCGACCTCGGATAAAGCGGATGAAGATGGATGGATGGATGGATGGATGGATGGATGGAAAGAGTTTTACCCGACCCACAGGAGGTTATTCATATCTAGAAAATGTTTTAGTTGACATGATACAATTTTCTCTAAAACTTTGGTAAGAAAAGGCAGCTTGGACTGAGGCCTATATTTAGCCAGTTCAGTGTGCTCAAGAACAGGTTTCCTAAGCAATGGCTGCATTACTGCACATTTAAAATTTACAGGAACTAGACCAGAGGACAGACTGCTGTTTATAATAGCAAGAACAGACTGCCTGCCCTATAGCAGTCAAAAAAAAGAAGAGCTGAGGCCTTAATATAGCGAACCACATCCTCTAAGAGTGAGAGGGTCACCGGCTCAAACTGAGTAAAAACAGCAGAAGGGACAGAGGCAGAGAGGCGAGTCAGCAGCTGTGATAACAGCCCATGTGGTAGCAACCTTTAAAAGAAAACACACAGAAAACCATTGCATATATCAGGAGAAGCGTCTAAACAGAAACAGAGGCAAAGGTGTTAAATAACGTGGCCTATGGCTGTTTTAAGAAATGAAATCTGTAAAATATTCCTTTTTTGCCTCTTTAACAGTATTCTGGTAGTGACACTGGCAGTCTTACAATTTGAAATGACAGCTTTTCCATCTGTGCTCTGCTCTGTGACATTCCCTCCTGATAGCATGAGCTCTGTCATTAAACCAAGGTTCAGGTTTAGAATTAGGCTGCCTGACGTTACTAGCCAGAGATGAACTATTTGTTATTAATCTCCCGCTCTCTTCAACAGCTTGTCCTTTCCTCCAAGGATGGTTTGACAGGAAGAATAAAACCAGGAACAGGAAGGGCCACAAAGCTGATTAAAATCAGCAAAAAACTGAGAGGCAATGGGAGATAATAGCCCAACATTGCTGAACAGGAGGGCGAGCTGCAGTACATGTAAAACCCACATTAAATAAAACACACATCTGAGAGTACAGAGGTACAGACAGGTTAGTCACAGGGAGACTATATGAAAGAATAAGGTCTATTGTGTGTCTCCGCTTATGCAGGGCCCAGTACAGAGTGAGCAACAATAAATAAAAACAAGTTGCCCCCCCCCCCCCCCCCCCCCCCCCCCCGTACTGGATAGAACAACAGGGGGAGACGAGCAACTCCTTTTTCCCACAGGATGCAAAATGCAGTCAGCTTATCGTCCCTGAAGCGTCCCGAGCAGGTGAACCTGTCATTAAATGGACATTAGCGCGTGATAATAGCAATAGAGGGGATCATAGCATTAAATGTGACCCATCCTTTCTTGTTGCCAATAAATGTCTTGAGCAGTAGATGGCAGCTAGAACTGGAATTAAATGTAGGCTCTTATCTTCACTTCATCTACGTCCATCCAATCCTCGCACCTTTGCGTCCCATGCAAGTCAGACTTCATGCTGCTGATGTGAGCAATTGCATAGAGTATGTGTCCTGGTGTGAAACCAGTTACTAGTGGTTTGCAGTGCATGCTCTCTGCATTAGTGGGAAACCACTAACTATTCTAGAGCACTCAAAGCACTTTATACAACATGCCTCATCCACCCATTCATACAAGGGTTTTTTTCAATGCTTAATTGCTTTCCATCTAACATTCACACATATTCATACTCCAGTGGTTGCATCATAGAGCAGCTTGGGATTAGTGTCTTGCTAGAGGATATTTGGCATGCAGACTGTCGCAGCCAGGGAACCACAAACCTTCCTATCAGTAGGCGACCCAGTCTACCTCCTAACTAGACACACCATCACGAGACATCCACTCACCATCCACTGCTCAGCCTCCTAATAGATACACCTATGGTATCGATTTCAAAATCCTCATTATGGAGTTATCACAATCACAAATTTGTATGTCCGTACTGCTCGCCTATCTGGTGGGCAACTATAACCCATCAGCTTTTTACAGCTGAGGGGGGAAAAAATTTAGTTTTCATGGTTTTCAATTCCGCAATTCAGCAAAAATGGTCAAGGGGGGGGCAGACACAAATGGCCAGCATGAAGCCCAGAGGGCTAACTTAATCTAATGCAATGTTTAAATTAAGGTCCCAGTATGCCTGCCACAACATCATCTCACAGTCACTTGTACCTGTAGGACTATTGTTCCAACATCTCACTCTGTGTACCTGTATGTCTCTAAGCTCCTGTATTTGAAATATCACTGAAATGGTAGGAAAAACCGTTACAAAGCACACTTGTGTCTTCAACCCAGCTGGATCAGGAAAAGCCTGATGCACCAGGTTATAACAATTGAGACCTGGTAACACAAAGACTGTGTTCTAACTTCTCAACATGACATGAGAACATGACATTGACTAAAATCATCCACATTTTTCTAACCGAAAACCTTAGATGACGAGTACAGGCTGTGAGGGACAGTTCCCTGTACAGCGGTATCCAAGCCCTCACTAACTACAAAGGATAGAGCCCCCCCAAGCCCCAAAATCACCCTCAAACTCGCGAAAGGAGCTCAACACCTTCTTTGCTTAGGTTGAGGTGGACTGCTCAGTTTGCTCTCTGTGGACTAAAGCTCAGCATTCAACACTATAAAACCAGACATCCTCATCATCAAACTGGACCATCTTCATATCCCCCCCTACCAACTGCTCCTGGATCAAAGACTTCCTCACAAACCGGCCTCAATCAGTCCAACTCGGACCCCAAACTGGGTGTTTGGTACACAGACCACTACTGAGAAAAGCAAGGCTACGCAGAGGGTAATGACACTGCCCAGAAAAATCATTGGCTGTACTCTGCTACAAATTTTGTGGAGGGTGGCACACTGGTCTGGTGCTCATTGGTCTGGTCTAGAACAATGACGAGTGACGAGTCTGCATACAGACAGGAAATAGCAGTCAGAACCACCTGGAGCTGAACCTGCTCAAGATTGTGGCGATATTGGATTGTCGGAGACCCCCCCACGCCTTCGTCCCTCTCACCATCCTGAACAATAAAGTATCCGATGTGGATCACGGATTTGAAGTGGTCCTCACATCAGTCTGTCTGGAACAAGGCCCAGCAGAGGTTGTATTCCCTGCAGCAATTCAGGAAGTTCCACCTGCCACAGGAGCTGATGGTCATCTTCTACACTGCAGTCATCCAGTCTGTCCTGTGTACATCAATCATTGTCTGGTTTGGCTTAGCCACGAAGCAGGACAGGGCCAGACTGCATCAGAGAGGATCCTCAAGCAGAAAACATCTCTGCAGATCCTGGACATAAACTGTTCTATTTTTACAAAAACCAGCCACCACTCAGCCATGACTCAGGTCATATGCATATTGTACTGCACAATCTGCACTATTCAAAATTAATACTTAAGGTTCATCCAGGTTGCTCTATGTTCAGCCTATTTATATCTATCATTCATGCCCAGCTGCAACTTGTCATAGTTTGTATAGTTTCTTAAGACCTTCCACAACTTGCACTTTTCTAACTTTCTAACCTCGTATTTATGTTCTCCTTCTGTATATATGACTTATTTGCTTATTTAAAAATGTTTATTTTTTACATGCAGAGAGTAAAGCGAACCTGAGTCAAATTCCTTGTTTGTGTGCACAAACGTGGCCAAATAAAGAAGATTTTGGTTTTGAATCAATGCATGCAACACCTGTTTCAGGTAGAGAAAGGCAGCAGTGTCCTCAAGATTGCTTGTTTATTTCTTTTCATTCAAAAGACCCTCAACAGCAGTAAATGTTTCTAAAATAGACAGTATAAAACTGTGGGTGATTATCTACATCCATCTTTTATACTGAGTATAGTTACATCTCCTGTTCCAAATGTATCCTGAGCTATGAATGGTTTCTTATTATCCTACAAAGTATCAACAGGCTTTTTCAGTGCAAAATCTAAACAATTAAATGAATAGATACAAAAAAATAGAACAAAAAAGAAATCTCAGAAATCATATTGACTTTAAATGTTGATGACAGGAATTTAAACTCCTCAACAGTTTACTCAGTCACACAAAGAAATCTGTGAAATTGCACTTTTAATTCCTGTTTCCTGTTAATTGCAGTGTGGAGAGCAAATGATCAGGACACTCCAGTCACTCTTTTGTCAAACTTGAGCAGCAACACAACCATCACAGGGGCTTTAATGGGGACAAATAAAATGTGATAGGCTAAGATAACAGCCACTATACAGATAAGATTACCCAAACTGCTAATACATAAACTGTGCCTCTAGGCTGTTGGCTGAGCGTGAGGGTGGGCTTCCCTGCGCCACAGACGGACATCCTGCGCTGAGCGAGGACAGAAATACTTACAGAAGTCGTCCTCCGACAGCAGCTCATCGCCCATGACTGCTGCTCCTCAGAGCCGCTTCTACCGGCCCGGCTCCTCTTCCATCACTCGAGCCCGTTATCCTTCTCCAGCACAAGTTTATCCTGCGTGCTAACGTCAGTACATTTGTCAAGCTACACATGTCAAAACCAAAGAACCACCATATCCGGTCTATACCTTCAAAATAAAGCGAGCACGTCTTCAAAGCAGAAACGACGCTTCTCGGTCTTTTTCTGGCAGACAGCGAAGCGTGACATTCCCGTCACCAACTGCTGTGATCTATGGACTCAACTCACCATAAACCACATATTTAATAAACAGATAGATCTATCTAAAATAGACTTTTGGCCTGATAGATTTCACTTGGGACCAGCTCCCAATTTGGATTCTGGAGACAGACACTATCTCTACTTTTGAGATCAGGGTTAAAACTTTTCTTTTTGATGAAGCATATAGTTAGGGCTGGACCAGGTGACCTTGAATCCTCCCTTAGTTAAGCTGCAGCAGGTGTGGGGATTCTGTGTTTCTTTTTCACTCATCTCTCTGTACTCAGTTATTAGTCATTATTAATCTCTGGCTCTTTACCAGAGTGTCTTTATCCTCTCTCCCCCTCCTCACCCATTCAGTAATGCCGATGGCTGCCCCTCCCTGAACATTGTTCAGCTACAAGCTTCTTCCTTTTAGAAGGTTTTTCCTTCCCACTGACTCCAAGTGCACGCTCAGAGGAGCGTCGTCTGATTGTTGGGTCTCTCAGTATTATTGCTCTGGTGTAAACTTAGAGCTACATAAATAAAACTGAACTGAAATGAATATTGCAATTTTTAAAGCGTGTCCGAGTCATAATGGGGCTGTTTCCTCTCTGTTTCTTCCTGTTTCTCATGTCTCCTGCTTACTTTGGAGTTTATAAAACCATCTCCACCTCTCTTCTTCCTGGCATGGTTTTGGAGCAAAAAGGCAGCTGGTAACTGGCCAGTCATATTGATTCTGTAACGTGTTTGTTGAATCTCTATCTGAATATCTGGTGTGCTGTCTGAATGGCTATCCCACAAAATGACCAATAATGAATTTGAATCTGAACAGATTAATGAAGCTAATGATCTTGTGTCTTTAATCCACTAAAAACAGCTAAAAGGTACTGCAACCATTCCTCATCACTGGCCCAAGTAGAAGATCTCTCCTTGAGGAACAATTTAACCCAGCGCTGTTGTCATTTTAATTTCTATTGTGAAACTGTTATTAATATAAAATGACAAACTTCACACTACAGTCACAACAGTCCAAGTAACCCGCTAATCACATAAAAACTGTAAATTTGAAGCTGCAAGCAGCAAGTGATGTAATTTTATTGAAACACTTATTGTTTCATTACATTTTTTAATGATCAAATATACTTTCATTTTGCATTGGTTGACCATCACACCACATTAGCCAGTGTTTATTTCTAAAAAGGGTTTTTAAAAATCGCTGTTGGGATGTTAACAAATTTTAACAAAGGTGCAAAAAACAATCGAAGAAATTTCAACCCTCACCTCAGCAGGATGATTATATCAGGCTACAGTATAACAGAAGGAAGCTACAGTGCAGCATGTGTAACACTGTTGATAAATGCTTCAAATGGTTTGTAAGACTGAAGACATAACAACAAAAGTAAATCATTTATCTTTATTTAAGCAATAGCAAACTTTATCAAAGAGTACAAAACTTCAGTCGATCTACTGTTATGAAAATATGCTTACATATTCTGGAGGACATAAAAATTACATTTCTAGCACTAGAAAAACCCGGAAGATTCTTCATTAATAATCAGTTCAACATTCAGACAGGGGAGAATGATGCACATACCCCCCATACAAAAGACAAGTATTAGAGAATAGTAATAGGCATTAGTGAGAGCTGCTCTAAGTGCGTTTCTGTGCAATATACAGTACATTAATGAAATGATATTACTAATGATAAAAAAACCCTGTAAAGTAAAAATATTCCTTTATTTGCTTTATCAATGTTAAGAGTCTGAACAGATCCTTACCTACACCGTACATCTTCACCTTCACCAGTGACAAACACCATGAAGGCGGTGATTAAAGTATAATTTCTCTAATAGCAACTTGTCAGCAAAAACTTCCCAATGAAAAGGAGAGAAAAAAGCTTCTGAGGTTCACAAATGATTAGAAATGCTTTTAGGCATTAACAGAAGTGCTTATTTGTAGCTGTATATATTTAACCTATATTTATATATTATATATTTAACCTCTTAGGACCTGGCGTCCACATATGTGGTCATCACATTTTGGGTTGTCTAGACCAAAATACTAAATTTTGCTCTACAAGGGCCTGATATCCACTCACGAGGACGTCATCCTCCCACTGTTCTATCGAAATTTAAAATGGATGTCCTCATATGTGGATCAGGTAAAAAAAGAAATCAGGTAATTCTTTGTTTTTACATTCATCAGGTCCCAATGAACCCAAATAGCAAAGAGAAATTAAAAATGCTGCCATGAAAGAGTTCGGGTCTTAGGAGGCTAAAGCATTGATTCATCGATACTTTGTTAGTCCTCACAGCTCAGGTGAACAGAACCTTCAAAGACCTGCTGTGTACCAACACTTCTCCTGGATTTGAAACATTGATCCGTCTAGAAGAGCTCACAACATAAGAGATGACTAAAGCCAGATGCTATGCTTCCAGTTTTTTTTTTTACATAAATCCCTTTGGATAGCAAGAAAATTACCTTAAGAAACATTAAAGGTGTTAAGGCACACAGACAAATCTGTGCGTAGCAAGAGTTCACACACAAATCCATGATTTATCAATATTTTCGTACCTGAATTTGTTTGCACTGTAGAAACAAATGAAGAAGTACCATGTGTACAAACAAACACAAATGGCTGCCGAAGGACATTTAATGAAATGAATACTACTATAACTAAAGCTACTATTAATAGTATTAAGAATTGTTATCATTATTATTGTTATTATTATTGTTGTTGTTGCTTTCATGTAATATTAACAGTTTTACAAAACACAACATGCTCAGTTACAATTAAATAAAAAAGTAAATCGTATGCAAAGAAAACAAAATACTAAATTGAAACATTTTTAATTGCAACATATTCCAGTATTTCTTTGATCTTTTTTTGTCTTTTATCAGTTTATCCTCCCTAAAATTATCTTATTGTTCATTTAAAAAAAAAAGACTTCTATCACTTGCGGTCTAATTTTTTTGTTCGTTCATACAGTGAGTTTTGTCATGTGGAGCCGACAGACTTTCCAGCTGCTTATACTCTGTCGGGTCTTTTTACATCAGTTTCAAACTTTTTTTACTTGAGTCACAGTGAGTGTGTCTCTGCCTTAGCGGTGCAGGCTGCTGTCTCATGACATTACTGCATTTTCCACTTCACCTCCAGGTAAACTAATTTATTTATACAGGGAAATGGAGGAGTGGCTGTATGTTTTATGCATATTGCACACGGCAAGCATGAGCGTGCTGATTTAGAGTCTGATTGACTACCAAAAGTAAATCATTTATCAAACACGTGCAAGAACAAAATCAGCCAGTGCATTTGTTGCATAGGGTAAGACTGTTCCCACGCACATATTAGTAATGAGGGCCATTATTTTGTATCTACAAAAGAAAACACAGTAGTAAAAAAAATACAGTAACACATTACTTTCCGCTGCAGAAAAACATCCATTAGAAATAATTCCACAAAAAGTTCCAAGTGCAGCAAAACCATCGACAATAACACAGTTTTGTCCATCAGACTATTCCAGCCATTCATTCAAACCCTCTTTAATACTGTTGCACACCACAGCGCATTTAAAAAGCATAACGCTCAAAAACCTTAAAAGCACTTTGAGGTGACTGTTGTTGTGATTTTCTATATACAGTACTGTGCAAAAGTGTTAGGCAGGTGTGAAAAACTGTTATAAAGAACGCTTTCATATAAATGCTTGTTTATTGAACCCAAATGTATTCTGCAGCAGGACAACAACCCCAAACACGCAGCCACAGTCATTAAGAACAAGTACTGGAAGTGATGCTCTGGCCCCCACAGAGCCCTGATCCCAACATCATTGAGTGTGTCTGGGATTACATGAAGAGACAGAAGGATGTGAGGAAGCCTGCATCCACAGATCTGTGGTTAACAACTGACCAGCCGAGTTCCTTCAAAAACTCTGCAAGTGTACCTAGAAGAATTGATGCTGTTTTGAAGGCAAAGGGTGGTCACACCAAATACTGACTAGATTTAGATTTCTCTTTTGTTCCTTCACTTCATTTTGTTGATTGGTGAAAATAAATGATAAACACTTCCATTTTTCAAAGCATTCTTTGTTTATAGCATTTTTTCCTCACCTGCCTAAAACCTTTGCACAGTACTGTAAATAAAGTTGAACTGAATTGAATCCAGTACAGTGTCCAGGTCAGGCCTGCACACCATGATCATACAGAGTGAATAAGCTCATCATAAACGACCATCTGTGATGATACAGAATACCACTGGTTCTTCACTTTTAGGCAAATTGTATTTAGTGGGGTCTTTTTACATTTTCCATGATGTGACTGCACTATCACTGTCTAGGTAAAGGGTTTATCAGTTGGTCAATTTCAGTCAGTGTGTGACGTTCACCAACTCTTCCTTTTGCTTCCGTTTGTTGCAAATTTCAGTTTCTTGACCTCCCTGAGGACGTGGTCTGCCTTCTTCAGCTTCTCCATGGCCTCAGCCAGCAAATCCCCCGGTACATCCTCCTCTTCACTTCCATGGTCCTGGGACACTTTGCTCAAGAGCTTGCTCGTCTTTTCCATCTCTAGAGCCACTTCAGTCTCAAGTTTAATGACATCATCACTAGAACCCCCAGCACTCACAGCTCCACCTCTGCTAGACTCTTTCATCTGATTACAGACATCAGATTCAGACAGCAAATTTCCAATTGAGGCTGACCTGCCCTTGGCTGAGGGCTTGAGAGGAGGGATGGGTTTTATGTTCTTAGAGCTAACCTGAGGCACTGTTGTGACCTGTGCTGGTCTTAAAATAACAGATACCTGAATGCTGTCCTCACTAGCATCCACCACATCCAAAGCAGAATGGCTTCCCCTGAGTGCAGCTGTAGCAGCTACCAATGTGTCTTGACTTCCAGAGCCTTCACTCTCATCATCTGAGTGCTGACCACTGTCTACAGATTTCTCATCTTGCTTTTTTTTCTCCCCGGACAAGTGATA